TTTCCCTCAATTGCTTCCTCAGTATTTTTCAACTTGTCTGTAATTTAGCTTATACTATGCATTGGTATTTGTGCAAAGTAAATGACAATAAAAATGGAAAACATACTTTTAGAAACTCGGATCCATAGGTATATTATTATCTTTGCATGTGCTTCAAACCTCAGTAAGAAAACAAAATAAAATAAATAAATAAAGATAGAAAAATAAACAGAAAAAGACAGGTATGCTTCTCCGTTTTTAATCTTATCCACACATCAGTTTTCCACAGGTGAGGGTAAAAGTGGGAGGGACTGATGACAGATAGTAGTGAATTCCAGGAAATAAAAACCCACAACATTACATATTAAAGGAGCAATGAATTCAAGGAACTGCCCACTGTGGCGATCTCTTTATATGCCATAAACATGTCACACAAGTAGCTTAGCTGCAAACCAGCAGCGTCTTGTCAAATAAAACAACATGACAAATGGAAATCTTCTGATGCCAACTTTATAAATAAGGTCTAACTCACATAATACACGCGCACGCACACACACACATACACACATATATATTTATATATAAATAATTAAAAGACATCTTAACAACTAAAGCGATGATGTCCTTTTTTTCCTCCTGTTCCTAACCAAATATTTTACTGTGGACTCAGTTGGTGACTGGTCATTTGAACATACTGTAATTTAATGCATTTATCTTTCAACAGTGATCTGGCAGTCATTCTGATTTGATGTGACTCCCAACTTACTTTTGACTTTAATAAGAAAATATGTGGACAAGGCAAGGTCACTGTTGCCTCAAGCACTGTTTACTATTCATCTGCATTTCTGAGTTTAGAATTTATTCCCCTATAAACAAACACATGGAGCCGAGTGGATGCATTTCTTCTGCGGGTAATGCGTTTTATACCTTCTGGGGTGATGAACAATAGTCATCTCAGATTTTTGGAAATACCAGACATTTAGTCTCTTATTGACAGACATATAACAGTGCTACGTTTTGGCTGTTTCATCACAGAAGTCAATCAAGCTATATTGCTTTCCTTTCAGTCACTGTGTTTGCTAAAGGTTGTGTGAAAAATGCTGAAAGAAGCAAAACGGCTTGACAGAACATATGCATTATGGCCACTCAGGACTAATCTCATACAGACCTGAAAATAGTTAAGTATAATTTGCAAGCAGGTTTTAATTATTGCCACTTCAAGGAAAAAACTGTTTAACACCTACACAGTCCACTAGAAACTACAGTGTGAGGGAGTAGAGACCAACTGATTTGTCCAGAAAATGTAGATAAAAATTAGAATTAAGTTCCAATGAAATAAGATGTTTACATTCCTAACAGCTGTGACTATGTGATTTGTTGATGGATAGAAAGACGTTTCTTTCACAGTTTGAGTTTCAGGTACAGCAACCAACAAGCCTGAACACACCAGCAGCAGCAGCAGCAGCAGCAGCAGCGACTATTTATTTTTTTAATCCATCAGGGTTTAACTAGAACAAGCTTTGTAGTATGTAGAAAACACACGGCTAATGTATGAGAATATGTTGCATGACTGGTGCCCTGGGCTATATCACATACCATCAGCAATGACTCACTCTCTCAGGAAAGGAGAAGCATACACACATAAACACAGTCCTCACACATATACAGTACACATACTGTATACAGAGAACAGTGTGCCATGCATGATGGTGCGTGCACACAGCAAGTGAAGCAGTGCTGGAGACAAAACACTGTCTCCAGGATTTTTGGATCAATAAATGTCTTTTAATAAAGCAAGGGAACAAATCTCTGGATGAAATGATTTTTAACATCTGTAACACGTAATTTTTCTCTTCTTCTGAGTGTTATTCTAAATAGGGATAGGATTAAGACTAGCATTGCAAATATTTGCTTTTGAAGTAGTAACACTGGAAATGACCTTTCGGCGGTTTTGTTCAGCTGCTCCACATGTGGATCAAGTGATGCTTATCTCTTACAAAGCTCTTGAGGAATTTTACAGAGGCTGTAACCTGACTATGCTTTTTATAGTGGATATTTCCATGTGCAGAAACAACATCACTTGGTCATTAACGGGTCTAACATGAGATAAGAACGAGGAGGCAAGAATCTCACAGGCTTTGCGTTTTCTCCCTCTTTCACCCTTTTTCCATCTGTATTCGCATCAGTTATATCTGAAACTGTGCTGTCATTCTCTCTCCTTGACACTCTCCACTTGCACACAGCCCCGGGCCCCCTTGTGGAATGCTGTATAGTGTGAGGCCTATGGAGGAAGGGCATCCTGGGACACAGTGAGAACCCCCCCCACACACACACACACACACACACGCACACACACTTCCACACTCAACACATGCAAACGTACACACAGACAAATACAGCTGTTGAGAGCCATCACAACCCTTTGGCAAATATCCAAGTCAAAGACAAGTGGTGTTGGAAAGCCTCCGTTTAGAGAGAAATAGAAGAGACGGTCCCATGTTTTCCTGGATATTGGGTTAAACACTGAAGGTAGAAACTGCAGTACAAACCCACATCACCCTGAGTTCCTGCATTGGAGGGAGGAATATCATAAACAGTCTTGATAAAATCTTTGTGGTGCTTTAGTGTGGGCAGGTACACATTTGAATACATACTGATTCAGCACACACTCAGTATATGATACAGTGCAAGATTCTCCCCATGATATTTTTACATAAGCGGAGCAGGAACAATTGGGCACTAAAACTCTAACAAGGATTCAACTGAAGTGTTTTTAAGCAAACAATGTCACACAAGTAGTATTCCACCCTGTGCAACACCTGTCCTTGATGCCAGACATGCTGTAATTTACACACTAACTGCACAGTTACCATATGACAGAGATAAGATGTAGCCCATAATGAACTTGCACAAAATTTGGGCTTTTTTTTTCATAGTAATCTTGAGAACAAACACTCAGACTAGACAATAAGAATGAGAGCAGGGTGACAGAGAGAAAGTGCATGCGTGAGAGGGAAGGAAAATGACAGGAAATGAAGAAAATTGCCACAAGTTACACGCCGACTAGCCACACACTGCACACATGTACACTCAGGGGAAGGGGTGAGGTATTGTATGTTTAGTCAGATGTCTCCTGCATGGTTCAGATAGGGTAAACAGAGCCACAACTGACAGATCTGACTAAACAGCAGCCAACATATAAAACGTTTTAAACTTGCAATCACTTTGACTGCTGCTAAACATATTATCATAATGAATATGTGCCTGGTTCCATGTTAGTTCATGATCCTCACAGCCCAAAGATATTTACAACCTCATGTCATTTTGGAAATGATTATAAATACTATAGATCGCTGCAGTAAGTGTTATGTCACTTATACTAAGGCAAGATTTTAAAGACAAAGCCTGTATTTAAATATCCAAATATCTTGAAATCACAGTGTTAACACTTTACTGAGGGGTTGAGAAGCCAGCTGCAGCCTATTGGATCATATTATGGCCTAACCACAGTAATGGGCCTGACAACACTAGCAAATTCAACTGTGTGTTGATTATTCCATGCAGCAGTCATTCAGCGTATAGCAACTCAGTGGATGGATATGGGTGGAGATTTTTTATTTTGAGCCTAGACCGATATCATGCCACTTTCTCCATTCATACACTTGGAACTAATGGCCATGATATTTCCTGTGGTTAGTTTTTTCTTTACATTATTATCATCAGACTACATTTTTGGGGGGTAAAGAACTACGGACCACTGATTAAATTCTTCTAGTGACGCGTGATACACTTCTGTGGGAAGTGCCCACAGTCCTCCGCGTAAAATCTTAACATTTCGTGATATTACTTCATGAAAGTTTAAGAGTCTGACTTAGTTTAGGAATCGTGTTGTAACGTCAGCAGACAGTCGGGGTATGCTGCTTTCTATTGTACCTATAAAGAGGGGGAAGCTAAGGAATAATGCATGAGAAAACCTATGCGTCATACAAATCAGGCACCGTAAACATCAAGCCAAGCCAGAGGAGGATATTTACCCGATATGTCGCTATTCCATAAACTGCGGCTGTCAGCTGGCGCAGATGTGGCAGGGTTTCTCTTCGGATAACCTGTAAAGTTTGCGTGGTGTCAGAAAAGCAGGCCCGAGTCTCCCCTCGTCCGCTGGCTCACTTTATCACTCTAGTCCTATCTTTACCGCTCGTCCCCCATCTCTCTGTCCCACTCTCTTTCTCTCTCCCCGCTCCTGTCCCTTTGCAGGAAGTGAACGCCGTTCACATGAACACTATACGGACTGCATGCAGCCTGACATCATGCACCAGTCAGTAAAGAGTTCTTTTTAAAGACACAGACATTTTGTCGGGACCAGCCAGGTTACTGTATGCACACCGTCCAACTGTAGGCTGCGAGGCAAACGGACTGTCAGCAGTCTTCGGTCATATCGTGCGCCTTTACGGACACATGAACTCGGTGCACTCTGTAGGCTTAAAGGTGCAGACTACTGCTCTCTAGGTACAATAAACCCCACACAAACAGTTAGCCTGCAATTAAGCAACGCTGCGCGTAATGTGTTATTTGAAAAGGCATCATCTAACCTGAGCTACAACTAGGATAGGAGTGCCTTGTGCTCCCCCCCAAACAAATGTACGTGTGGTTATCTCACACGTTCATATGTGATGACAACCCCGGCGACATGATGCGCATGTGTGCTAAATTATAAGCGCCAACTGCTGGCGGTGTGACCTTAAGTCAACTTTTTTTTCCTTTTTAACTGCAGGCATGCGCCACAGCGCCACGGCGCACTAAATCCCTGCAGGGGTCATAAACAACGGTGGCAGAAATATTTCTGCCAACTGAATCTAGAGGTTCTACATGTTTCATATCATCCTATGTTCATTTGCACACATGTAGCTTTTATCAAATTGTGATTAATCTTACCTAATGATAAGGTGACTATTATGGCATAGTAATGTTAGATTGTTTTGGGGGTTTTCTTGATTTTTTTTTTTTACATTTTTTATAGCTGTCTTTAGCTCTCTCTCTGCTCTCAGACCTGACAGGTATACAAGTTGCCTAACTCAGTCTTGAGCCCTGGGTTGGGAACCTCTGCTCTAAGTACAAGTGAAACTATATGTTGTTTTCTGTTCTGCAAGTAAAATCTTACTGAAAAAAGAAACTGTAAACTAAACCCAGCAGTTAAAGACATGTGTTTGACAACAATTATACAGTTTTAATTGGAAATACAGATTATTAGAGTGAAGTAACCTTAGCTATGTCTGTACATTAAACTAAATCAGTAAATGTAGTTACTTGCTACCTCCACCTGCACACACTTTACTGCATTATCTGTACCTTGAGAAAACGCTGTACAGTAAGTCCAGTGATATTTCTATATGAGCTTACAGTGTGTTGATGGTAGAATTTGTTTACAGTACATTTATGTTACCTCTTGCTATTTGAAGACGTGTTTGGTAGCAATAAAATATTCCTGCACTAACTATGTGTCTGTCTTACTCAACACAGGGAGTTTATAATAATCTTACTATACTTCGGCCTATATGGCATTAGTAAAGTTATATTCTTATCAATGTTTGCAAGCATTACAGATTGTAAAGCTTTTTTTTCATTATGTGCTATTGTTCAGTTAAGCCAGTAAAATCTGTAGCCTTATGAAATGACAGTTGATTGTGTTGTGTTCTGTTAGGATTGGATTTCAGGAGTTAAAGTTATTTTTCTAAAAGTTCAGTATGATTATTTGTCCGTGTTTCATTAACAGCTCCATGTATCAGTATTAACCAGCTCTTATACATGCATTATAGTTATAATATTCAGTTTTGAGACAACTTGTAGTATTTCTTGTCTTCTTGGTGAAATGTGCATAAATTGATTGCAGAGATAAGTGTCATGCTGAAAACTATAGATAAGATGCTAACTGCATGTGTACTTTCAGAAACGCCTGAAAATACCAACACACACACACACACACACACACACACACACACACACACACACACACACG